CCGCCGCAGGGCGAGACACAGCTGCAGTAGATGTGCTCCGGTCCCTGGTAATGCCATAGGGGTGAGGGGGTTCTGGGGGACCCCCAGAGCCTGGCACATGCCCCTCAGGTAGACCCCCAGCCTCGCTCAGCCCTACCTTGCTCTTGAGCTGCACGAGGTGCTCGGGCATGCGACACAAGGGAAGGACCTCGCCGTCCTTTCCTGGGACAAGGAACCATACGGAGCATCAGTGATGGTGGGAAAACCAGGGATCCCATGGGAGCACAGACCCTTCCCCGAGGCACAGGACAGCTCAATACCAAAGTCCTGCTGGCAGCACAGGCTCTGCCATGGAAAGCTGCACCTGTGACTCACCAGTCTCTTCAGTGGAGCCAAGTCTCCAGAGCTCCAGGTGCTGGGAGAACTGGAAGAGGAGCAGCCGAGCTTTCCTGGCGCAGGAGACGAGGCGTCTCTGCATGGAGAAATGGGCAGGTTTCACAGCCTGGCACAAAGGGCTGGGGCATACTGGAATGCCCTGTGGTACCGGAGACTCCAGGGTGGGGGAGAGCAAGGAGTCAGGTTCCATGGGGTGGGAGCCTGGAGATGGAGACCTGGCAGAACCAGCAAGACAAGCTTGCCAACTTCTACTCCATAGCAGGAGCCTCCAGATGTAGCAGGGCCAGGGAAGGGGACAGAACAGGGCAGGGAAGGGACCTGAAGGGCCAGGGAAGGGACTCAGAGGGGCAGGGAAGGGTACGTGGCCAGACAAGGAAGTCCAGCCTTCTCATGCAGAAAGATCCAGCCCTGCCAGCCTGTCCCACCAGCCACAACACCCTGCTCCAAGCATCACTCACGTGGGGGAAGGTGAATTTTCGCAGCACTGACTCGTAGCCCTTCTTCTGCACCTTCTCCATCAGTGGGCGGATCACCAGCTGGGCATCCAGGCCTGGAAGCCAAGCAGAGATCAGTCAGGCTGGTAGCAGGAGGGGAGCTCCAGCCTGTCCCGGTGCCAGCAGCCAGTCCTACCCCCAGAGATGAGGGCGGTGGGGCTGTGTGCCACCGCCCGCACGTCGTGGCTGTGGAACTGGAAGGGCTTCGTCCGCACCCAGTGCTTCTCCGCACTGCCCAGCTTCACTGGCAGCAGCTGCAACTGGTACGTGGCTCCAGTTGAGGTGCCCACGACGATGCTGTCCTCTTTCTGGAGATAAAAATGGGGACGGGACTGTGGGAGCAGTCTGAGAAGAGCAGGAGGCACAGAGTCTGGCAGCTCCCAGCCCAGCACACAGGAGTCCCCACAGGCCCTGCCAGCCCCCAGGGGCACACGAGGGTCTCACCCACCTCTGACACAGCCAGTGAGAGTGCAGCAGAGGTGCTGACAGTGTGGGACTCTGCCAGGGTGCCTTGCTCCCAGTCCCAGAACTGCACCCTCCCGAAAGAATCGGCAGTGACCACGGTGCCGCTGGAGAGGAAGGCGATGGCCCACACGATGCACTCGCGCTTCACCTTCTCCGCGTGGTGGTTCACCATGACCCTCTGCACCGTCTGGCCTGGAGAGGGGAGGACAGTTCGGGGTGGCCAGGGGAGTGCCTGGAACACAGGGTAGGTTGGTGGGTGCCAATAGACACCCTGAGGTCATCCCCTGGAGCAGGAGGTACCTGAAGCAACGTCGATCACACGGAACATGTCAATGGATCCGGCCGCAATGCCAGCGTCCGAGGGCTGCCAAGACAGGCACAGGACACGGCCTGGGGAGGGAAGCTCCAGCTGTGACCCCACAGGCTCACAGCCGCTTGGTCACCTGGAGTGACAAAGGGACAAAAGGACAGAGGGGGCCGCTGCCGCCTGCGATCACCTTTCCGCCTGTCCAGGCTCCGCTCGAACTGGATCCCCTCAGGCACGACCCGGAAGATCTTAACGGAGCCATCCTCACAGCCGATCTGCAGGG